GATACAGCCAAAATGTGTTTTGTTTACCTACATAAACAGCCAAAGTGTGTTTGTTTACCTACATAAACAGCCAAAGTGGGTTTGTTTACCTACATAAACAGCCAAAGTGGGTTTGTTTACCTATATAAACAGCCAAAGTGGGTTTGTTTACCTACATAAACAGCCAAAGTGGGTTTGTTTACCTACAAAAATGGCCAAAGTGTGTTTGTGTATCCACATAAACAGCCAAAGTGGGTTTGTTTACCTACATAAACAGCCAAAGTGTGTTGTTTATCTACATAATCAGCCAAAGTGGGTTTGTTTACCCACATAAACAGCTAAAGTGTGTTTGTTAACCTACATAAGTGTGTTTGTATATCCACAGATACAGCCAAAATGTGTTTGTTTATCGATAGATTCAGCTAAATTGTGTTTGTTTACCAACAAAAACAGCTAAAGGTGACACCAGTGGCGGAGCGGTCAATAACTGAAATCCAACAGTTTCATGTATTCATGCTCAGATTTGTTTATGTTGTTTACTCTGCTTTGTTTACATGGAGTACATCCCCACATTTCAGAACTTTAGAGGAATAAAACGTTTTAGGACTTTGGTTATAGTTCAGGAGAATCTTTAGATGTTTGATTTTAAAGACTCCTGGTGGAACCTGGACGCTCAGATCAGTTTAAACCCGGCAGGAGCTCGAGCCCGGGGTGGAACCTGCACGTACTTTGACAGCGCGGCGTGTTTGTCCATCCTGGCCCTGTAGTCCTCGTTCTCCTGCTGGACCTTCTTCAGACACTCCTCCAGTCTCACGTTGGTCTCCACCTGAAACACAAACCGGACCCACGTGAAGGAGAGTCCTCCAGAACCCGGCTACAGAAGCACAGAGTCCTGGTACCGACCAGCCGGTCCATCTCCAGCAGCTTCTTGTCCTTCTGATGCAGCTGCTGGTTCTTCATGTCCAGAACCACCTTCAGGCTGTCCAGCTCCTGCTCCAGGTACACGGTGTGAGAGTCCTTCTGCTCGACACAGGAGGAGACGATGGGAGTTAGGGGCAGCAGGGGGCGCTCATGAGCTGATCAAAAACTTACTGCTCCTTTTAGCTGTTGTTCTGCTTCAGCTCGTTTAAGCTTCTTTCCGTTAATTTCTGCTTCTTTCAGCTAATTTCAGCTTTTAGGGCATTTTTAGCTGATTTTCTGCAAATTTTAGCTGTTTTGTGTACTGTTCAGCTTCTTCTAATTTTGACTTTTTATGTTTCTTTTGGCTTTTTTTGTTTTTACTTATTCAGGCTTTTCACACTTTCAGCTTTTCTCTGCTACTTTCAGCTACATTTTTGCTCAATTCAGCGTGTTTCTGCTACTTTCAGCTTTTAGTTTTAATAATTGCTAATTTTTGCTAATTGGGTTTCTGATACTTTCAGCTACTTTTAACTACTTTCTGCTTTTTCCTGTTAATTTTAGCTACTTTCTTTACTCATTTCAGCTTTGTTGTCCTCCTTTTAACTCATTCTTTCTATTCTTTAGCTCTTGGTATTTTTCAAGTAGATTTTAGCTTCTTCAGCTGCGTTTTCACAGGACATTCAGTTCTAGACTTTAATTCGATTTCCAAGGTTTTGGTTGTTTTGGCTTCTCTTTTTCAGGGTTTCGGTTATTGTACCTTTTCTTTTTCAAGGTTTGTTATTTTAGCTTCTCTTTTTTTTTAGTGATTTGGTTGTTTTAGCTTTTTTCAAGGTTTGGTTCTTTTAGCTTTTTTCAAGGATTTGGTTGTTTTAGCTTCTCTTTTTTCCAGGTTTGGTTGTTTTAGCTTCTCTTTTTTCAAGGATTTGGTTGTTTTAGCTTCTCTTTTTTCAAGGTTTGGTTGTTTTAGCTTCT